GACACTTTAATATATGTTTTTTTTTTTTTCAAAAGCTTCCACTCACAGGGCGAATTTTGATAACAAATAGGAAAAAAACGTAGGTTAATATATGCATGTAAAAGTCTTATGGCTTAATAAAACATTTTACAACATGTTATGCAAACTTATTCTCTGCCTCTGAGATAAAAGGCTTTAATACTACTACACTCTCATGGCCGTGAAAATTCTCCCTTCATTTCCCAAATACTTTTCTGAAGAATAGTTTGTGAACGCCCCTAGATATGAATTGAAAAAATATGAAATACACCCTAGTAGTGGCCTTATTTTTTCTAAACTGAGAGCTAGACACTTCTGGTTTCTGGTTAGACTCACGTTCTTTCAAGGAACGAAAAAATTCTTATAAATCTTTCATTTCTTCGAAGTCAGACGTTAATGAGTAATCTTGTAGTTCAGTTTTTCTCTAGTTTATGTTATCAATCGAAATAATATACATATGTCGTGCCGAATAGGTAAAACTGGTCAATTGGCAAGAACTTATTTAAAATTAGTCCTTTCTAAAATTTTCTCTTATACGTTTGAAGATATATTTTTCCATTTATGTTAATGTAAAAAAATAATTTTCTACCAAAATCACCTTAGAAAACTTACCTAATCGTATTATAACAAGCACAATTTAATTTGCCCTCATCCAACTAAATATATTTTAGATAAGTTTACAATAATTTAATAATAAACAAACGCAGTGAAATATATTTTTTTTCTTTAGGTTCAGAATGATTTTTGCGAAATTATTGCATACACAAATTTTCGCTTGCCTTATTCGACAAGAAGAGCTTTACTATTAAAGCCAAAATCGCAAGTTTTACCTATTCGGCAAGACACACACACCACACACACACACACACACAACAACACAAAACATACACACAACACAACTACACATACATATATAAAATATATATATATAATATATATATATATATATATATATATATAAGATTCAAGCCTACTATAGGGAGACTGGCAAGTTTCCCTAAGTGACGCTTTACACCACTCGGCCACATCCTCCTCGAAATCTGGGTTGCCTGGTTTACAATCATGTCCTTTCCACCCCGGGCAATCAGTGGATCTCAAGATGGTTTAAAGTTTTTTATTTTTCCTTTTTGTATTTCTGCTCTCACAAGCAATTTTAAAAAAAAGAAAACCCGCTTCTTAGTAAACTGTAATATTTATAATCTTTTTATACCCTTTTCCTTTGCTTGCAAAACCCCAACGGCGTAGAAATTTTCTTTATAGTAATAAAAATAAAAAAAAATAAAAATAATAATAATAATAAAAATAATAATAATAAAAGGAGAAGAACATGAAGTGTGAGAACCCAGGGAGGGATCCCTGAAGGCTGTGATGAACCTTGAGGGATACCATGAAGGCGTGATGAACCAGAGGGGGATACCATAAAGGCTGTGATGAACCATTGGGGATACCAAAAGGCGTTGAACCAGAGAGGGATACCATGAAGACTGTGTAAACCATTGGGGGATACCATGAGCGGATGAACCGAGAGGGAACCATGAAGACTGTGATGAACGAACAGTAGTGGCCACAGAAAAAACAAACATAAGAACGGCCCCCCCAAAGGGAAAGTCAAAACCCCCTCCCCAACTTCACCTTTGTTTTCTTTTTGGACCACTTTTTTAAACTAAAAATTTGCTCAGTAAAACAGCAGAGGGAAATTTCCCATGGGGAAATACTTTTTTAAAAGACCCTTTTTCGCAAAAGAGTCAAATTGAAAGTTTTTTAAGCTCCAGAGAGCAAATATTTTTTACTTACTTTGAAAAAAACCCCCTTTTTTCCCCTTCTTCCCCTTTTGCTGCTGCACCTGCTGTTTACTTTTACCGCCCACCACTACTGCTACCCTGCTGCTATTACCACTTTGCTAAAAATATTGCCTTGGGTAAGAGGGGGAAATTTTCCCTTTAGTATACTATATACTACTACACTACTGCTGCTGTGCTATTACCAAAAAAATTTATGATAATAAAAAATCATAACAAATATTAAATTAATAAAACAAAAGGGAAAATTTTAATCAAACATAAAATAAACTCCATTTTTTTTTCCTTTCCGAAATTCTGTTTTCAGATACGAAGATCTTGGAATTTTCTATTTTACTTTTAAGCTCCAGGGGAACCATCCGTCTTGAGGGAAAAGGGGAAAATGAAATTTGGGAAAGGGAATGTCTTTTATAATGGATCCGCCCTTATTACAAGAACGACTCAGGGAAATGGAACCGGGTTCATTTTGACAAGAACACGAACAGGACAGGCGTCTTCACGTACCTGGTTTACTTTAGAGTTCATTGAGTAATTAATATGTTAAGCGTCTAACTTTTGTGGTTGTGTGTGAAAGATCGATATTCCGTTTGTTACTGACAGCTTGTGTTTCTGAGAATCATGGTGTTGGTGCTTGTTGTCTGTGTTGAGTGGAGGAGTGGGGGGTACCAATTCCACCAGCCTCACAGTGAAGTGGGGGTACTAATTCCACCAGCCTCATAGTGAAGTGGGGGTACTAATTCCACCAGCCTCATAGTGAAGTGTGGGGTACTAATTCCACCAGCCTCATAGTGAAGTGGGGGTACTAATTCCACAAGCCTCATAGTGAAGTGGGGGTACTACTTCCACCAGCCTCATAGTGAAGTGGGGGTACTAATTCCACAAGCCTCATAGTGAAGTGGAGGTACTAATTCCACCAGCCTCATAGTGAAGTGGTGGTACTAATTCCACCAGCCTCATAGTGAAGTGGGGGTACTAATTCCAACAGCCTCATAGTGAAGTGGGGGTCCTAATTCCACCAGCCTCATAGTGAAGAGGGGGACTAATTCCATCAGCCTCATAGTGAAGTGGGGGTACTAATTCCACCAGCCTCATAGTGAAGTGGGGGTACTAATTCCACAAGCCTCATAGTGAAATGGGGGGTACTAATTCCACCAGCCTCATAGTGAAGTGGGGGTACTACTTCCACCAGCCTCATAGTGAAGTGGGGGTACTAATTCCATCAGCCTCATAGTGAAGTGGGGGTACTAATTCCACCAGCCTCACAGTGAAGTGTGGGGTAGTAATTCCACCAGCCTCATAGTGAAGTGGGGGTACTAATTCCACCAGCCTCATAGTGAACTGGGGGGTACTAATTCCACCAGCCTCATAGAGAAGTGGGGGTACTACTTCCACCAGCCTCATAGTGAAGTGGAAGTACTAATTCCACCAGCCTCATAGTGAAGTGGGGGATACTAATTCCACCAGCCTCATAGCGAAGTGGGGGTACTAATTCCACCAGCCTCGTACTGGAGTGGAGGAGTTAGGTACTCCTTCTCCAGCCTTGCAGTAGAGTAGAATACTGGAGGAGGTAATAACTTCCATTGCGTCACAGTAGAATCAACCCAGAAGTGTATTTGCACTCGAATTTTGATAGACACTAATTTTTCCATGACCAGCAAAAGAGTTTTGCAAAATAATGAAATCTTAAATCACTTTGATGTTTAAAAAATGCTAGAAAACTGCAAAAACCTCTGAAACATTGTAAAAATTTAAAATTATTAATCAAACCTTTTTTTAACTGATTATGTTAAAATTTTATGCTTTGAGTGGCGCTGTGTGAACCCCTAATAAAATTAAAAATAAAATTAAAAATTAAATTAAAAATATTAATAAAATGAAAAATAAAATTAAAAATAATAAAATTAAAAATATTAATAAAATTAAAAATAATTAAATTAAAAATATTAATAAAATGAAAAATAAAATTTAAAATTAAATTAAAAATATTAATAAAATGAAAAATAAAATTAAAAATAATAAAATTAAAAATATTAATAAAATTAAAAATAATTAAATTAAAAATATTAATAAAATTAAAATTAAAATTAAAAATTAAATTGAAAATATTAATAAAATGAAAAATAAAATTATAAATAATAAAATTAAAAATATTAATAAAATTAAAAAATTAAAAATATTAATAAAATTAAAAATAAAATTAAAAATTAAATTAAAAATATTAATAAAAATAAAAATAATTAATTGCTGCTATTGCTGCTGCTTCAAGTATTATTAAAAAATTTTCCTCCTCCTGGAGACCTGATCTGAGAATGGACAGAAGAATTAACGAAATAATTTTTGTATAATTTAACATACAACGTAAGAAGGCTACTGACTGCTTCACCTGCTGTTACTGACTGCTTCACCTGCTGTCTAGAAGTATTACAATCTCTGATAACACTGTCGAGGGGAAATACCAAGTGGGTGTGTGGCTTCTTAAAGGAAAGGAAACGTTAGTTTGTTGTTCTCAGGTTTCATAGCCGTGGAGGCTCGATCTTCCATTTCTTCTTATTGACGTTATATAATACCATCAAGTCGATGATATTATATAACGGCAATAAAGATAACTTGGGGTATCTTTATTTCCGAAGCGTTTCGCCTGTACAGCAGACTTCTTCGGTCGAATATAAAGGTGATTTCAACAGTGGAGACGAAACTTTTGAGGTGTTCAGTCCCTCAGTCTTGATAGAAGATGTTCGGGCCTTCAGCCTCGATTGAAGGTGATCAGTCCATTAGCTAAGGGACTGATCTCTTCTACCAAGACTGAGGGATTGAGCACCTCAATATTACCTCTCTACCTCTTCCACTGTTTCCATTACTGGAATCATCTCATCTGTCACTGCCTCCCGTTAACAATCTCTGATTTGAAAAAAACAAAACAAACACGGGATGGTGAAATTTGAGAAAGATACAACGTCTACAGCGAAACTTTTATTACTACGATTCAATAAGGACAAAACTCTATCAATTACCATAACTATTTAAGTTCAGTTGCCGAGGAAACGTCATAATAAATGAGTCACCGCAGTCAATAACCTTTTTCCACTAGAAGTCTGCCTAGTCCATTGTTCAGTTATACCCAGCTGTTACACTCGTATCAATATTTTTTTCCAGCCATGGTTATATAATGGTATTTGATTAAGA